TAAACATACAAAATGAATAAAAATAATAAATATATCTTATAATTAGCAATACATTTTTTTTTCATTTACACTGATTTCCCCAGAATTTTTGTAAAATAGCAGCCTATAATTGTATAACAAGTAGAAAATTATAGCAGCCTATAATTAGAGTAATAGGGAGAAAATTATAGCACCCTATAATTGTACCAATAATGAGAACAAATAAGAATGAAATGTTTTTTTATAAAGGGCAGTGACTTCCATATACTTATTAGATGTGTGTTCATTTTCAAGATATTCACCATAGGTATCTTTTCTAATATTAGCCAATTTCTCCAAGGATAATGTGGTTCCATGTGACTTTTAAAACCATTTATTAATGGAAATATTATTGGGGAATTTCTATTTAGCACTTCTCACTGATTAATAGCTAATAGTAAATAATGTAGACCGGGCAAGAAGGATCAGTGTTAAGATTGTTGTCACATTCCAAAAGTGCGAGACATGTTGTTAGGTTGATTTGAGATTCAAAAATATTTGAATAGTGGAATGGTATTTGTCTCTGGAAAATTTTCATTATGTGGTGGACACAGCCACATGATCAATGTCACCAATACACACCACATCCTCTTCAGTATAAGGCCTCAGTTCTGCATCTGATCTCACACTGAGAGATTTGCCGCATCCTCACCAAGCCTCATTGAAATCCATTTATAGAAATGATTCTATAGAGAACATTTTGAGCTGTAGTTTTTGAATCCTAGATTTACAATTGAGTAAGTTACTATGGTGAGTGTCACCTTGGTGAGTGTGTTGGCTAGTCCATCTATTTTCACACTGCTGACTGCCCTCTTAAATTTCATCATTCTTGGAATTACCACCATCAAAGGAATAGCTTTGGAATTGGACTAGGAGAGCTTTGGAACAGGAATGAGCAAAATAATCACAGTATTGCATGTTGGTCCAACCACTGGCCACCAATCACCTTTATAACTTTAAACTCTATTCAAGGAAAACTGTATCTACAGTGGCATTGGTTTACATTCATGGCAATGTGGAAGAGTTAAATTAATCATATGAGAGTCCTTACATACAATACAACATGTTGAGAATTCCAAAAAACGTATGGCAGAAGAGGCAATAGAAGGGCTTCAGACCCGTGGCAACAATTCATACAAATCAGTCATAATTTACTGTGCATTTTTGTTCCTCACTGATGAAGTAAGATGAAGAGAGAAAACATAGGTTTTCTACTTTTTAACTACAGTATACATTTCTCCATAAATAAAGCACTTATTAAAATAACACGTTCTATATGGTTCTTTAAGAGTCCTTTTGAAGGGCCTTATCAAAAGCCTTTTGAAAAAAATGAAGTAAACATTATCCACCCTGTTACTTTTATCATATAATTTTCCAAAGAGCTGCAAAAGGTTGAAGTAGAACAATTTTTGCTTAAAGCTGTGCTGTTTACACCCTATGAGTAAGGACATATCTTGGACATGGAGGCACGTAAGTCAGATAAAATGTGTTTCCTTCTCTCCACCACCCCCAAACTCTCTCTGTGTGATATTTCCATTGATGGTGGTGGTGACTATGACTGTGACTTGAAAAAATATGACCCCCATTGTTCTGTAGATCAGAGCAAGGCTTTTGTTATTGGGATTCTGGATGGAATCCAGCAGTCAAAAAGCATTATCGAGTCAGGGATGGGATGGGATGAAAGGAGGAGGGTGTTTAAGTCCGAGAGTATCCTTAAAGTTCAGAGCAGCACCTGGTGAGTGAAATACTCTTACTGGTCTGATATAGTAAGAGCATCTCAGTCAAATCTTTTGTAAAACAATTAAGTCTATCACTTGTAATAACTTCCACTAGCATATTGGCCACTCTGGGCTATTTCCTGATTCATCCAGGTATTCAAGCATATGTATAATTTAAGGCTACTCACATGCTAAAAATTATACATATGCTTAGGTAATTTGCTGATCTGGGGCTTCAGTTATGAAATAATAATACATAATAATATTTTGCACTCCTGTAGTATCTACCTTTGAGGATCTCCAAGTCTTTGGCATACTTCAAGTAGTTCCTCTGAGTATTTTGGTATTTACATTAGAGACTCTCTAGATACAGAGGTAAGATCACTCAAACAACATTAATTCTGCCCTAATAGTGCCTGAGGTAACTTACCGACAGACAAGACTGGTCTTAAAATAAACTCCTTATTAGGAGGGAAACTGCACAGAAATAAGGTAAAAAACACTTCCTAATGTTCCTAACTTCCTAATGTTCTCTTGCAGCAGCCTGTGCTGTGCCCCTTCATTATTTCTATTACCCAGCAAACAGTGCCTCACCGAAAAAACAAATCACAGCATCTAGAGTCTACAGTAGGAGTGACATCTTTACACTTCCTGGAGGACTTACTCTATAGGACACACAGAGCCTCCTACTAAGAGAGAGTCTGAGACAACTTGATCTGTTAGTCACACAGGTTCACCTCATTAGTGACCACAAAAACCTTATACCTTGAGTTTAATAAATCTCTGTGTTGGACAGAGTTGATAGTTGTTTTCAGGGTGGTCCCATAGTGGCACATTAAGGGTGTTTGATTGAGCTTAACGTTGTATAATTTATTTGTAAAGTGTAAATGTTACTGTTTTTCTGTGTCAGAGCCAGTGATAGGGCAGATCTAGGGGACAGATGTTTACGGGGTGGTGGTGACCCATCTTGCTGGACCTCAGATCTATCAGTTACAAAGTAGCTGAAAGTGAAGTAACGCACAAATCCATCTTCTTGTTTCTTCCATCTACTTGAGGAAATCTCCATGGCAGGTGAAACCAGCAGAAGATGCAGCACTGAAGGGTACATTCTGGGGGAAAATATGTAAGTTGAAGGAATTCAGCTATTTGTCCTAAGCATAAGATGAAGGCAATTCCTCTTTATAAGGGAAATTTAACAATAGCTATTAGGCACAAGGATATGCATAATTCCTCAACTGATGTAATTAGAGGGCCAAATGTATGATTTCATGTGGCTTCACTTTCTTGTGTATAAAACTTCTTTGAAGTGTTCATAGATGCTGGGGTGAATCAAAAATGATTTTATTTAGAGAACATATCATTGTATCAGTATATTTGGAAGGAAATTGTTATTTCAGCATGTTCAAATAACAAGAGTCTAGGATCTGCTCTCCGTTACTCCAGTGTAAATCTATTGCAATACTTGGGATTTACCCTTGTGTAACTGAGCTCAGAATCTAGATGAAGAAGTTTTAATCCAAAATGAGTGTGCATGTTTGACACTTTCACACTAAAGTTCCAGGGATGTATAACTGAGATTTGGGTTCAGATTGATGATACATTATCACAAGGGCATGTCCCAAGGGTATGCCTAACAGACATGTGAACCTGAACGATACGTAGTAAATGCTCTTGGAGAGGTTAAGTGACTGTTGTTTCTTTGAGCTTCCTCACTATGAACAATCCGATTTATCATGGTAGCATCTAGAATTTTCTCTGTCTTCATATTAAAGACTGTAAGTTTTATATTTTAACTTGTTATTTGTGCTTTCTATCTGTTCTGTAATTGCCAATATTGTATTTTTTTCTAATCAAAATAGAACTCTAGTTAGATCATTATATCTAGGGAAATGTATTGCCTTGAGCTCTCAAAGGCAACAAAGTTCTGTCCTGTCCAGGATGAAGCTGGCTGTCTTTGTAGTAGTTGAAGGCATGTAAAAGTCTGAGGTCTTCCTTCAGAGTAGTGCCAGAGAAAGTTGGGTGAGAGAGTAGTGTGGACACAGAGCAAAAGAATGGTGTTGTGGTTAAGGCACTTGAATGGTACTCAGGAGATCTGGCTTTAATTTTTGGCCCTGCCGTAGGTTTATTGTGTGACATTAGGTAAATCCCTTAATCGCTGTGTGCCTCAGTTTCCCATCTGTAACATGGGGTTAATAATGTATAATCCTTCCTTCTCTCCACCCCATGTTTGTCTTATTTATTTAGACTGAGATAGGGACTGTCTCTTATTATGTGTCTGTACAGTGCCTAGCACAAAAGGATCCCGAAACTCCTGATCTCAGTTGATGTTTCTAGGTGCCACCCATAATATAAATAATAATAAATTTAAAAGTGACAAACAAGCAAAAGACAGATGGCCCCACCGTAAATAACACCCAGTCCTGTTAATGTCTTATTTCTCCAGCTGAAACAGTGATTCTGTGTAGCATAAGGCCATTCAAGTATACATTTTTTTAAACTAAAATTGGAATGAGAAGATACAGTATTGTACAATGGGCATTTGACAGCACAGCCAATCAAAACTCAGAATTTCCATTTCATAGGAAATTCCAGAATTTCAGAATTTGCTTGTATTCCAAATCAGAATGGAAACAATTTGGTCTACATTCATTTTTGTCAAAATAAACACAATTTTGTAAAATATTTTGGTTTTGATTAAACTACATTTTCTGATTGAAAACTGTTTTGTAGAAAATTTTATGACTAGCTCTATTAGGCAATCAAATTCAGTTAATATAATTGATTGTTGTTGCTTGATGGTATATCTGTATAAAATGTTCTCATTTTCTCTCCTTCCACTATTTGTAGTTGGAAATAGCCAATTGACCTGGCTGGAAAGATATTTTAAATATTTTGCCAGATTGTTATAGAAATCTTGAACTTTTGCAAAAGAGAAAAATACAAGTAGGAATAGTTCTTCATGAAAGAAAAACAAAAAAGAAGCAAGATTTATACTTCTGCTGTTGTGTTTGTAGTCTGATTTGTTATAAATTTGTAGCCTTGTATTAAGGATAATTTTATTTTTCCCTTTCCAATAAAATCTAATGCTTGATTTAATCAAAACTGGTATAATTCTGAAGCATTTCTACAACTATACCATTACCCTTTGAACAGACGTCAGATACTAAAGAACGGCTGCCTACAGATCAAGTTGCTGTTGCCAACTCTCGCGAGCTTTCTGACAGAAATAGTTGATTATAATGTCAGTACTGTCCAATTTACAGGCTTAAAGTAGCAGTCGCACACTGCTTTTCACTGAAGTATACAAAGACCTTGACTCTTTTAGAAACTTTGTAGTCTTTGTAATAGAAGCTGGGGTAAGTGGTTCTCTATTTACATGTTTCTATGCCAATATAAGTTACAGTTAAACTCAATTTGTATGGGGATTGTGATCTTTTAAAATGTTATGCTCTGACCATTTGTTGCTCTGTTGGAGATACTCACTCTGCTCTGCAAATGGAACTGATGGAACAAGTAAGCGGGCATGTGTATCAGACCTTGGTATTATTCAAGGGATTCTGGGCTAAGTAAATTGAACTGAGCAATAAATCATTTATTAATTCAACCATCTTTTCTATTTAAATAGAGATTACGTAGCCTTGTGTATAGATTTTTTGGTTGGGTAAAGATTTGCAAGGAGAGAAAATAATCATTTAAATAAATTATATTCCCTCACTAAATAAGAATACAAAAGTATATTCTGTTTAATTTTTATTGGATAAAACAAATGCAGAAGCAACTTTTTAAAATATGCAAATATAGTAAATGACATACCTCTACTTGCTTAAGGTTGGCAGGCTAAAGCAATCTTCTGACTTCTTTTATTCTTGTAGTAATAATCAAGTCATATTTATTTAGCTCAGTGTGTTTTATGTTGCTGAATTTATTTTAACGCAGCATTAACATTATTACAAAATGTAGTATTTCACCACCAAGTGCAGTAGCATACCTTTCAATTGCTAGTTTTGTCACTATTAGCAGGAAACATAACTTGAAACTACTATGCTTTCATTTAGCAGTGTAGAAGTTTTGTACTTTTTCCAAAGTTTGACGTATTTCATTTGCTCATTAAAAAGATCAGATAGTTCATTGGAGAGCTAATTATAAAATGTACAGTATTGATTTTTTTTTTACTTTAACTATTTCTTTAATATTTGCATTAATAGCTGAAACATTTTAGGATTGTGGATCAAAAGTTCAGGATCTGTTTTATATTTGCAGATTTTTACTTTTGTCTCTCTCTCTCTCTCTCTATATATATATGTGTGTGTGTGTATATATAAAACAACATAACTGTATGGAGACTAAAGGTTCTACATGAACCCCATACTCCTGATGTTCACATCCTCCCCTTTATTATTTATTATTATAATTTCACTTTTTATGCCTATAATATTACCATTAATTATTTCAATCTTTTACAGTTCCAGATAGCACTTTAAATGCTACATTAAATGCTTGCTTTCAGTGTCACATATTGGATGGTTTTAAAAATTACCCTCCTTATACAGTTTACTGTATATTGGGTAATTGCTGACTTCCTATGCTGCTAGGTCCTTAGCCCAATATTGATGCAATCTCCTGGTCACTTAATTCATGAATTAACTTAAAAGTAAAGCAACCAGGATTTGACTCTTGCATAATCCTTAACCCCTATGGAATATTTTTCATTTATCGCTCTTTAAAGAGATTTACAAAGATAGGAACTCTCACTGTATCTCTTTAATGGGTGGGTAAACTGATGTACAAAGCAATAAGTGATTTCATTTTGCCTAAGGACTGCAGCTTGGTGCACTAAATCCCTGATTCTGCAAACACTTGGAGTAATTCTATTGATTTGAGGTTGCCCACACCAGTAAAGTTTAGCAAGGATGTGTTTGCAGGATTCTAGGTAAGTAAATCTTAAGGTTTGGTTAGTGTTAGCTATAGCTCTTTAGCCCTTTTATCTTTATGAATCATATTGAGAAGCTTTTACATAAAAGATTCTATTGCTTTACATCTTTTTCCACAATAGATCATCTATGTACTATAGATTTTTATTTCCTCATGCTTTTAACAAAAATTTGAAATATTGTCTGTGATAATTTATCTCTCTGAGTTACTTTGATTCTATCTCATATTTAGGAATCACTTTAACCAGAAACTTCCCCATTTTTTCTATTCTCCCTCAGCTTTCCAACAATAAACAAACAAATTAAATGGTCTTAGATCAGGCATACAGCTGTACTTTCCACAGAAATTAGCCTCACTCCTTGTAAGGAGAGAAGTGCTGCTCATTAACAAAGAATGAACTATTTAAAGTGGCAGTGCTGAATACACTATGTACAACAGGAGGAAGAGGGGGTAGAACAGAAGAGAAGCTTCGTTGAATATTTTCACTGAAACAGACTGTAGGATTGGGCCAAATGAGAGTTTTCTTCTTTTTTGACATTTGGCTTTTGAGAGGAAGAGAATGTTTTTATAACAGAGTTAATAAGTCCAACTTTAAAAGACTAAGATCAATGGGACTACTCACATGCATTAACTTAAGCACGTGATTAAGTACTTTACCTAATCAGGGTCTAAATTCCTAGAATTACCAGCACCTAGAGGCCCCAATCAAGGACTGTACCAAGCACTGCAAAAATAAAGAAAAAATATAGTCCCTACCCAAATAAATGTACAATCTAAGCAATAACAATAACGTTAATTGTTATGGCAAACAATGTCTATAAAACATTTATTTGTTCATGATTTTGGCATAACTATGTATGTGATCGCATACAAGAGCTGAAGTTATAGAGTATTACAGACATACATATCAGTTGAAGTACAGACTTATGAAAAGCACCTCCAATTCCCAGACAGTACTCTTGGGTTTATAACAAAGTTATTTTGATGTTTTGCTATTGCATTTCAACCTACTTCGGTTCTGTATCATAAATACATGGTTCAATATCTACAGTTTCACGTGATAGAGATCTAATACCCCCAAACATGGGGAAAATTCTAATTCAAATGACAGAGGAGCTGCTTTTTCGGGGTTAATAATGTGTCTGTTTATTTGTGAAGAAATTGGTACATGGCCTGAATTTTGTCCCATAGTTCTAGTAGAAGTTTCCTTGATATCCTTAAGATTGTGCACATTGTTACTAGCTCTCTCTATTTACGGGATAGTATGAATTACAAAAGTAACCACCGACAGAATAATTTCTAATCATGCATTATGTTTTGCATGATGTTCTTCTCATGTATTAGCCTCCAAAGGAGAATGGTCAGGGCACCAATTAACAAAAGTAAATATTATGAAAAGGCCTGAAGGGCATATTTTTGTGTGCTAAACCAGATGAAATAGTGTTTGTTCAGTGATTGTGTGTGGGAGGAAAACAGATACTCCTTAGCAAAGCCACCTATGTATGGTACTTCTGGTGACTTTTACTGTGATGCTATACAAGGCGCCTGCTGCACTGGGCATATGGCTAATGGTTCACATAGTCACAAACTCACTGGCCATATACTTTCCTCTCTTTGGCCCACCCCTACCTAGCCTTCAACCTCCCACCTCCTTCCATGTTGTAGTGGACAGAACCGTTGTGGAGCACTACTCTGTGATATTTAGGGGCAGCAAAGTCCCTGTGGATCCTATCCATGCCTGTCCCCTCTGTATTTAGGGACATCCATGCCAATGTGAGGAGAGAAAGCATTGTCTGACGCTAGACTATAAAATTTACCCATTGCTAGAAAATCATGTCAAGAAGAGGGTAAAGTGGGATCGTTACTGAATATGATTCAGCAACAAGTGTAGCCAAGGACAAGCCATGGCTAAAATCTGCTCTGCTGCTCCGTGCAGCAGAACCACCCCAGTTTCAGTGCCTTTGGGGCCTTTCACATTCCTTCTGCATGCGACAAGTTTTGGCCCTTGTACTGAAACATTAAAATGCAGGATCCTAAACTTATTTTTTATTTTATTTCAGGAATGATGACGTGCAGCAATGGGACAAGTGTCTGCACAAGATTTCTGATGTGGTTTCTTCTACTGTATATGTTTGTAAGGAAGGTGCTACCTGAAGACGACATTATAGTTACTACTAAGAAAGGAAAAGTAAGAGGGATTCACTTGCCCGTACTTGGGGGAACTGTGACGGCCTTTCTGGGAATTCCTTATGGCGAGCCACCACTTGGTAGACTACGATTCAAAAAACCAGAGCCCCGCAACAAGTGGACAGAGATTTGGGATGCCACAAAACATGCAAACTCTTGTTATCAGAATATAGATAAAACTTTCCCTGGATTCCCTGGGTCAGAGATGTGGAATCCAACCACTAACCTTAGTGAAGACTGCTTATACCTCAATGTATGGGTTCCTTCTCCAAAACCCAAAAATGCAACTGTCATGGTATGGATTTATGGGGGTGGATTTCAATCAGGGACATCTTCTTTACCTATCTATGATGGTAAATTTCTGGCACGTGTTGAAAGAGTCATTGTAGTTTCAGTGAACTACAGAACAGGGGCACTAGGATTCTTGGCTTTACCGGGAAACCAGGAAGCTCCAGGAAATGCAGGTTTATTTGATCAAAGGTTAGCACTTCAGTGGGTCCAGGAGAACATAGCTGTCTTTGGTGGCAATTCTAAAAGTGTGACTTTATTTGGAGAGAGTGCTGGGGCTGCTTCTGTTAGCTACCATATGCTTTCTTCTGAAAGCCATCCTCTTTTCACAAGAGCCATCATGCAAAGTGGCTCTGCTAATGCCCCATGGGCCACACTAACACATTCTGAGGCAAGGAAGAGAACTTTGATTTTAGCTAAACTACTCAGCTGCTCAGGTAGCAATGATACAGACATAATTCTCTGTCTCCAAAACAAGGATCCCCAGGATATCCTCGAGAATGAAGTTTCTGTTTTAACACACAACTCTCTTTTAAAAGTATATTTCTGTCCCATAGTTGATGGTGATTTTCTCACTGAAATGCCACAAACATTGATCCAGCATGGGCTCTTTAAACAAACCCAACTCTTAGTGGGAGTTAACAAAGATGAAGGGACAGCTTTTCTAGTGTATGGGGCACCTGGTTTCAGCAAAGATAATGATAGCCAGGTCAATAAAACAGAATTTCAAGTAGGTTTAAGTGAATCCTTTCCAGAAGCATGTGAACTTGGGGTGGAATCAATCATTTTTCACTACACAGACTGGGAAGATGAGCAGAACCCTGACAATTATCGTGATGCTATGGATGACATTATTGGGGATTACAATATCATATGTCCTGTAATGGAGTTCACAAAATTTTTTGCTCAACTAGGAAATAATGTATTCTTCTACTTCTTTGAACATCGGTCCTCAAAACTTGCTTGGCCAGAATGGATGGGAGTAATGCATGGTTATGAGATTGAGTTTGTATTTGGATTACCTCTAGAGAGAAGAGTTAATTATACCAAAGCTGAAGAAATCTTGAGTAGATCCATATTGAGATACTGGGCAAGTTTTGCGAAAACGGGGTAAGTTTAAGTTTTGCTGGTTGATTTTTATATCAGATGCACAAACTAGAAATAATGATTCGGTTGATTGTGTTCTGGAGGCTAGTGAGGCCTGTGAGGAAGGATTAATTGTCCAGCTAGCTGGGACTTCTCTTTTATTATCGATAAAATAGCATCTCCGTCAAATAAACTGTTGAAATGCAACTGACGATATCATATGAGTTTAAGAAAATATTGTGTACTCTTAAAAGTTGTTAGTCATCTGCTGCCCGCTTATGAAGGCAACCACCACACATTTTTTTTTCATGGCAGCAGCTGTTGCAAATGAAGGGAAGCAGTTCAAGCTGCGAAAACATAATACATACACCTCATACACACTATGGGTTAAATCCTGACCTTATTGAAGTAAATGGCAAAACTCTGGTCGACTTAAGTGTGACTCACCCTAAGATTGAAATTCACCACAAAACCCAAAGAACAAAACTTTATTTGAGGCACTAAGTGGGACTTGGGGGATGGAATCCAACCCCCTCAACCAGTCTACCTAGCATCTGTTCCAGCATATGGACTGGAATAGTGGCTATAACACCTATTGTCCCCATACGGTGGAGGAAAGTATCTGTATTAGTGGATTTGCGTAAGACTTCTATAGGCATCGTAGAAATATCCTCTAGGTTTGAAAACATTTACACTAAAGATAGCCATTAGTAGATCCATACAGAGTTAGTCTTAATGTTATAACTCTCTAGTGCAGTGGTTTTCAAACTAGGATATGTATACCCCTAGGGGTATGTGAGCTCTCATCATGGGTATGCGAGAAAAATTTTGTAATGGCAGACAATGCATCACGTTATGCCTTCCTGTTTTTTTTATTTTTTTCTGTTTTCATAGGTATATTATGACCCTAACTCAGATGGGTATATATGGTAGACTACATTATTTGAAAGGGGTATGCAGCCTAAAAAGTTTGAAAACCATTGCTTTAGTGGTATGTTGAGAATTAAAGCCATGACTTCTGGTTACTTTACACATATCTACTTAGGGGGAAAAAATCCATATTGTAAATAGAAAACTGTATCCATGGCAATGCACACTTCAGTATTTAACTTATCCTCACAGTAAAAAGAAATCACTTTATCTATATTTTTTTATCCTTACAGTAACTGGCTTCTGAGATGGCTATTTCCTTAAATTTATTTATGCCCTGATACAAAACACACTGAAGTCAATTAAAAGATTCCCACTGACTTCAATTTTGGATCATACCATAACCATTTTTCATTCATAGATTCATATCTTACAACCCAGAGTGGACCTTTGTGATAATCTAGTCTAATCTCCTATATAACAGATGCCATAGTACTTGCACAAATTAATTTCACTTTGAACTATAGCATATAATTTAGAAAAATAATCCAATCTTGTTTTAAAATTATCAGTGATGGAGAATCCATCACAACCCTTGGTAAGTTGTTTCATTGGTAAATTAGTCTCACTTCTAAAAATGTGTGCCTTATTTCTAGTCTGAATTTGTCTAGCTTCAATTTCCAGCCATTGGGTCTTGTTTTAGCTTTGTCTATTAAATTGAAGAGCCTTTTACTATCTATTTTCTGTTCTCCATTTAAATACCTATAGACTGTGATCCCCTTAACCTTCTCTTTGTTAAACTAAACAGGCTGTGCTCCTGGAGTCTTTCACAATATAGCATATTTTCCCAATCCTTTAATCATGCTCATGGCTCTTCTCTGAACTCTCTCCTAGGGCTGGTCCACACTGGGGCGGGGGATCGATCTAGGAAATGCAACTTCAGCTACGAGAATAGCGTAGCTGAAGTCGACGTTTCCTAGATCGAACTAAGTTTACTTACTGCGGGTCCACGCAGCGCAGGCAAGCTCCCCCGTCAACAGCGCTTCCTCCTCTCGGCGAGCAGGAGTTCCGCAGTCGATGGGGGAGCGCTTCTGGGATCGATTTATCGCGTCCAGATGAGACGCAATAAATCGATCCCAGAAGATCGATCTCTACCCGCCGAATCGGGCGGGTAGTGTGGACCTACCCGTACTTAGCAACATCCTTTGTTTATATAGTCAAGAATTACATTAGCTCCTTTGGCCATAGCATCACACTGGGAGCTCATGTTTAGTTGAAAGCAACA